TCCTCTGTATGCCAATTGGTTTTTTTCATGTGTACATTTAAGGATCTTTTCCTTTTGGTCAACTGAAGAGAGCTTGATTATCATGTGTTGTGGTGAAGATTGCTTTTGGTCAAGCATGTTGTGAGTTTTGTGTTCCTCCTGGTAGAGGAATCCTTTCTCCAGATGGGGGAAGTTTTAATTCATTCTTTCACTGAATACAACTTTAAACCCAGCTTCTCTTTCTGTGCCTTCTGGAACTCCCATAGCTCTTATATTTGTTCTTTTCATAGTGTCTCTTAATTCTTGAGTACTTTTTAAAACCTGACCCAGCTCCACTTCCAGTCCCTCATCCTTAAATTGGTGAGGTTGACAGCTTTTCCGAACTATCAAAACCACTTGGACAGAACTCTCAGAGTACGTGCCACATCAGGACCCTGGGTTGATATTGGATGGCCATTCCCCATCCCTAGGTATTGGGAGATTGGGAGGCTGGGCATGGCTTTTCCTATTGCTTCCTTCCCTCCCCCCCCCCCCCCCAGATACAGAAGGAAGAAAACAACAATCACTCCCGTTTTCCCCTTTCCTTGACCTTCCCACCCTGATCAACAACGTAAATATCATTAAAAATAAAAATCAAAAAAATGTATGTTTTGAAAAACAATGCGTGTATAGCAGCTTCTTAGTTTGATGTAGAAATGATCAACAAAACGAAGAAGTAACCAACAAAATAGGAGAACATCTTTGCACACTGTACAACTGATAGGGGACTAATATCCAGGATTTATGAAGAGCTTCAGAAACGCAATGGCAGCAAAACAAATAACCCTGTGAAGAAATGGGTGAAGGAAATGAATAGACATCTTTCTTTTTTTTTTAAAGATGTATTTTATTTTTATTGGAAAGTCAGATTTATAGAGAAGAGACAAAGATCTTTCATCTACTGGTTTACTTCCTAAGTGACCACAACAGCTGGAGCTGAGCCAGGAGCCAGGAACTGCTTCCAGGTCTCCCACACGGGTGTAGGATACCAAGGCTCTGGGTCATTCTCTTCTGCCTTCCCAGATCACAAGCAGGGACCTGGAAGGGAAGTGGAATAGCCAGGACATGAACTAGCACCCATATTGGATTCTGGCACACACAAAGTGAGGACTTTAGTCACTAGGCTACTTCACTGGTCCTCAAAACTACACCTTTTAAAAGAACAAATTCAAATGGCTAATAGACATATGAAAAAATGCTTAGTCCTTCTAGTCACCAGGGAGATAAAAGTGAAAACAACATTGAGATTCTACCTAACTCCAGTGAGGGTGACCTACATTCAGAACTCTTAACAACACCTACTGTCATGGATGTGGGGAGAAAGGTACCCTCCATGGGCCCGGCGCGGTGGCGCAAGTGGTTAAGTCCTCGCCTAGCACGCCCGGGATCCCATATGGGCGCCGGTTCTAATCCCGGCAGCCCCGCTTCCCTTCCAGCTCCCTGCCTGTGGCCCGGGAAAGCAGTCGAGGACGGCCCAAAAGCTTTGGGACCCTGCACCCGCGTGGGAGACCCGGAAGAGGCTCCTGGCTTCGGACCGGCATAGCATCGGGCCGTTGCGCTCACTTGGGGAGTGAATCATCGGACGGAAGATCTTCCTCTCTGTCTCTCCTCTCTGTATATCCGTCTTTTCCAATAAAAAAATAATAAAAATAAATCTTTAAAAAAAAAAAAAGAAAAAGAAAGGTACCCTCCTTCACCGCTGGTGGGAATGTAGGCCAGTACAACCACTGTGTAAGTCAGTATGGAGAGTGCTTTGAGAACCACAAATAAACAACAAAAATAGGAGAAATCAGTAGGGGGAGGGAGGAGATGAGAGAGGAAGTTGCAGATGCTTTGGAATTGTATCACAAAATAAATAAACTTTTAGAAAAGAAAAAGATTGCGTGGATTTTGTTTTTTCCCCACAAAAATAAACATATCTTTTTAAAATATCCTCTTACATAAAGTTAATGTGCTCTACAGTTGTCTTTGATATACATTTAGTCAGATTTTCCAGATTACTTATTGGGGGGGCAGAGACAGAAAATGTGTTCCCATCCATTGATTCACTCCTCAGATGCCCAAAATAGATGGAAGGGCTGATGCTGGGAACCTTGAACTCAAGCCAGATCTCCCATAGAGATGGCAGAAACTCAATTACTTGAGCCATGACTATTGTGTCTTAGGCCTGCATTAGCAAGAAGCTGGAGATAGCCACTCCAATATAATAGGATGCATCTGTCTTACCCGCTCATCCAAATGCCATCCCTGGAAACAGTCATTAACTTGGTCCTTAATCTTTTGTTATCAATCACAGGAACTTGTGGGAAGTCCTTGTTTCTGGAATATATGCTCTTACTCTATGAAATGCGTCTCAGAGCCTCTCTTTCTGGATATGGGTAATCTGGTAGCTCTAGAATAGAAGTGAACTTTTAATTCACCCTGCCATTTTAAATTGACCTGAAGGGCCCATCATTGTGGCACATGGGCTTAATTTGCCACTTCTGATGCTGGCATTTCATATTGGATTGCCCATCTCCGTTCTGGCTGCTCTACTTCCAGTCCAGGTCCTTGCTAAAGGACCGAAAACTAAAGGAAGGTGGTCTAGTTATTTGGACCCCTGATACCCATTTGGAAGTCCTGTATGGAACTCCTGGGCCCTGCTGGACCAGATATGGCTGTTGTAGCCATCTTGGAGGGTAAGTCAGGAGATGAAAGAGATCTCTCTTAGTCTCTTCCTCTTTCTCTCTGTCACTCTGCTTTTCAAATAAATATATAAATAAATCCTCATAAATTGTGTTAAAAAATAATAAGTTGACTGGGCAAGACGTTAGGCCCTTGGTAAGATATGGGTTCGCCCAACTGGTTATAAGGTCAGAGCAAGGAATGCTGAGTCAACTTCTAGTAGTGGGTTTTCTCTGGGACTGCTGGCATGACTTGGCTACTTCTCTGTAGTTCATTTGGATGAGTAAATCACGTCCAAGAACAACCTTTTTCAAAGGGCAGAAGGATGTGTTAGTCTGGGAGGGTCACAAAGACTGTCTGAGAAAATGGAATTATGGACAAATGGAATTTTCCAGGAGAGAAAATACTTTCAATATAATATTTATCAGATTAGGGGAAAGGTATCTGAATGCTGCTTCTCCTGATAACTAAGTCACCAAGAATATTAATTATGGCACTTATTTTTAAATTTTTTTAATTATCTTTTTTCATTTCATTTTAAAATTATTTTATGGTACAGTATCATAGACTCTGTGATTTCCCTCTCAACCTTCCCAAATTGTTCCTCCTGCACTGATTTCCCCTGTATTATTATAATAGTATAGTTCTTCATGAACAGTCATAAGACCATCATTTTGCTGTTTCAGTGTATCCTGACACTGCAGGTATAGACAATAGCAGAAAGTCCAGCACTCTGCTGTCAAGATAAATTCAACTGTTTCATTGGGAGTCCATCTTTGATTCAGAAGTAGAGAAGTATACTGCATTGTATATTCACATCTGGATATGACAGTTTCTATTACACAGTTACTATGCATCCCTCTAAATGAGAAGCCACAAGACAAAATCAACTCCAGGAAGGAAAAGAAATTTACAATGTCATAAAGTTAAATAACATGCTACTGAATGACTAATGTGTCTTTGTAGAAATGAAAAAGAACATCATGAACCTTCTTGAAGAAAATGGTGCTACTGTATGACCTATGAGTCAGTGAAGAATTCAATAAGAGAAAAGAAACTGCTGCTTGCTCGTGTCCTTCAGTCTCCAGGTGCCCCCCCTGCCATCAGCCTGTCCTCTCTGCTTCACCCTGGCTAATGACTCTTCATGTTTTTAAACATGTCCTTACCCTATTCCACCGTCTTTATTCTCTCCATCATAGCATTTTGAAATGGAAAAAAGAATAGGTAGCAGCACTGGGCTATTATTAAATAATTTATAAGATTGTAAAATGGAATATGATGCATCAATTAAACATGATATTTATGAAGAATACTTAAACCAATGGGAAAATGTTCAAGATACTGCAGATACCGGCATATGTTGTTTTAAACCAAAAGTAAAATATATTATTAAATATGTAAAAATCTTAGTAAGCCGCTATATGGAAGAGAACGGACAAGAATTCTGATAGTGTTAATTTCAGGGTTGTAAGATATTGGAGAAATCCATCAAGTATGACACACTAACTCTGGCACTTGGATAGGAGAGTGGATTGGCCATGTTATTGGGATGACATTGCTGGCAAGTGACGGGAAGTGGAGAGGGCTTCAGAGGAGAGGCTATGGGTTTGGGACTTTCTGCTATGGAGTCTCTTTTTGTGGCCCATTACTTATTCTTGGGATGATACACTGAGGCACATGAGATGGGTGTGCGTGTGGCGGGGGAGGGGCTTAGATTATCTTCTTATCTGCTAAGAACAATAATGGTGTTGGGCCTTCCATTTGCTCAGGGAACTTCCTTTAGCTACGCAGCCATCTGTGTGTGCTTGTGTGCTTGCAAGCCAGCTGTGTTTTACAGAGTTCCTAGAACTGAGCGGAAGGAGGCTTTTCATAAAATGAACACTGTGGGCTAAGCGCTCCATAGGATCACTTGATGTTGGACACATTCAATTCCTGGTACTTATGACTCCTTCAAATCTCCACGCAGATTTCTTCTAATTCCTTTTTGTGATTCTCATCGCTGTCTTTTTGACTGAGTCTATCATCCTCCTATGAAAAATGAAGAGGTTCTGCCCTTCTTAGAACATCTTGTTTGTCTGCCCTTAAGCACCCATTAGTCTTCATCCTTTTTTCACAACTCTGCTATCCAACATCCATAAGCAGATGTTCTCAGGAGCCCATCACACAGTGACTGACATCCTTGATAAAGTAGCAAGAAAAGGCTTGACTTAACAGAAGAAACAAAAGCCTAAAGTCATCAAAACAAAGTAATATCCTGTGTGAAAAGTTGCAGTCACGATGCCTTGTGGTTTGAGTCCCTTGATCATGTGCCCTAAGGGAAGTAGGTTGACAGTGGCCTTGGATGACCGAGATTCTCAGGCCGTGGCTGTCTGGCGCATCTTCAGTTCACCTCACACTCAGGGTTCCTTGGGAAGGAGGTTCTGGAGCCGCGGTCCACCATTAGGACGATGATTGTCAGGTTGCTCTTGGCTTTTAACTTCTTCCCCTCAATTCAAGGAACAGGTAAAACAATTCAGATTTTTCTTCTCCTCTAAGTTTTTCTTTTGCAGTCTTGTGATCAATGTGTTTTACTTTACATTTCAGACAGTGTATGAAATGTGGACATAGGAATTGTGGTTCTGCTCTAATATGATAGCTTGTTATTTAGACACTCATTGATTCTCAACTATAGTACAGTATTTTGATAGAGAATAGTTGGAAAGCAGGAAGATATATTTAGCTACTAGTTGACATTGCCCTAGGATTTTTGAGTTATATATTGCTTTTTTCTTTTAATTTAAGAAGCTGGTTCTGAGTAGGTTGGTTCTGAAAGCTCTGAATTTAGGCTGTGTAGATTTATAATATAAATTCAATTCTTCCTAGCTCAACTTAGGTGAGTATTCCAACTCTTTAAAACTTAGGACTTATTTTTGTTTTTAAAAAAAATCTTTAAAATGAGAATGATAGTTTCACCTTGATGTCATTACAAAGACAAAATAAAATAATCCATATGAAATGCTTAGCTCACTAAGTGCTTGGCTAGTGTTATTAATGTTAATTGTAACTGATGTCTACCTTAATTGAGTAGGTCTCCAAAGAATGCTGGTGTCTGTACAGAAGCTAGAAAAATATAAATGCTAAAAAATTAATTTTCATCTACTATTGGCTGAAATCTGTTGTCTTGGGTTAAAAACTTTAAAATTCCCAATGATGATACATTTAACACTTTTGGAGCACTTGTTTTGAGCTGTATTAAGTTTTCGCAAGGAGGAATTACACAGTACCTCAAACCCCATTATAGATAAAGGGATTGGGAAGGCAAGGAAATTAAATATTTTGCTCAAGGATGTGCAGCTATCAGTTATCAGAGGCAGGATCCCAACGGCATACGGCTGCTAACTCCAGAATCTGTGCTCCTGTCATGCTGTTTCACCTAATGTGATGTAGCTTGTAAGTTCATGGACATAAAGAAATCCAAGATTACATCATTTCCAGAAAGTACAATTCCTAACAAAAGGAGCCTGTTCCTTTGGTGGTAGGAATCAGACATTTGGTCAACTTGTTCTCAGAGCCAAGTTTCACTTGGCTCAAGCCTTGGATTGATAGGGATCACAACATGTTTAGATAAGGACAGTTATTTTTGCTTGAAAGACATGTTAACGAACCAGCACTGTCAAGATTCTGTCTTTGGGGTGCTGTACAGAGTCTAGGATTTTTGCTTTTGTTCTTTGAATCATGTACAAATATTCCAGACAGTGTAACTTCCCGATGTGGTACAATAGCTATACCTATGTCGGCACTTCAAAAAGTTCATGGGAAAATTAAATTAAAAGATGATTATTTTGGTACTTTTGTGGAAACCCATGCAGTCAAGGGTCTTCAAAGAATTCATGAGAAATGCATTATAAGCAAATCATGCATGCCTTTCAACATTACTTTGCACCCAAATAAATATTGCTAATTCAGTTTTCCACAAAGTTTCTGAATCACCCTCACATTATATCCATTTATTTTACTTTCTGATGTGCCATTGAATTTAAATATGCATATAGTTAGAGTGCTGATAAGTCAAAGACCTGAGGTGATGACAAGATATGCTGCAGGATCTGGAGCCAAGCATTTGGAGTTAATGAATACATTTTAGAAACACATTAAAATTTATTTTAAGAAGGTCTATAAACTTTATTTTAGGGATCCTTAAATTTCATTTTAAAGCATATTTAAAATTTCTTAATTTATTATACTCTAGAGGGAAACTTCACACTGGCTACACAGTTTTAAATTGGCAATTCTAACAAAATGCTTTTCTGGTGTTTTGTGGATAATCATCTGCCATCAATTCATTCACTCTTTTTTGAAGATTTCTTGTATAAGACTCAAAGTTTTATATTTTTCCTTTAGTCTATTAAAAGGGACACAGTTCATAAGGAATTGTAGCATTGAGCCAGGCAGGACATTTGCTTTTTACTTTGAGAAACATTAGCTTTTTAAACGCCAGTTCCCTTTCCTAACAGGTTTTAGGACTAGATGTGAAGTGACCATTCTATTGCCTATAAGCTAGGAAGGGAGCAGGCACTGAGATACTTTGGAATTGCCTCTTCCGGGAGGCAGGCATCTAATAGAGTGTTTATGATATCCTGTATCAGTGTTCCTGGGTTCGAGTCCCAGCGCTGCTCCCAGCGCTGCTCCCAACCACAGCTCCTGTTCTGTGCACTCTGAGAAGCAGCAGATGATGGGTCAAATTGGTTGGTTCCTACCATTCAACATGGGATGACTGTTGCAGGCATTGGAGACACACACACACACACACACAATTTTCTCCATATCGTTCCCTTTCCTACAAATTAAATAAACAACAAGAAATGCCTTTTCTAGTAAGAAAACTTCTGAGAAGGAAAATAATTATAGCGCACAAACACACCCAATCTATTCAGATAGTGCAAAGCCCTCCATGTGCTACTGATTGTTCTGTTTGTATTCACTTTCCTTGAAGAAATTATAGATAAAGGAACTGAAATCCTTTGATTTGTGATTAACAACTACTGTGCCCAGGCTGAGATGTGTTTGTTATGTCTGAATATGTATGAAGAATCGTTCCGATTTCCATGAATTTAGTGCTTTTAATTTATGGGTTCACAACACAGCTTGAAAGAAATGTTATATGAAGCCTAGCATGATACTTCAGGATTTGGGTGATGCTGTAAAAGTTCTTTATGACTCTATTAAAGAGACACAATTTAGGAAGAGTGAGTGAACCTTAATTTGGACAAAATTATTTGTGAACACCATGTGTTTTTAACAGGATCAACTGAGAGTGACAGAGAGGACTTGCTTGGGTTCCAGCAGAATTGTAGAACCTTGAAAGGGAATCAATTTGTGGCTGATCAAACAGGAGTGTTCATGTAACACATGGTTTTCATCCTATGCATAGCTTTTGTCTGTGTTGGCTATTTTTTTTTTTTCAGCAAGAAAATGATCTAGTACAAAGAAAATAATTCAGAAATACAAGCATTTTTTTTTTCATTTCCTTCCAAATGTTGGTAAGTAGACTGTCAAGATAGTCACTTTGGGCACAATTGATTTTATTAGTGTTGTGTCTCCTGAGCACTTCTGCGAGCGGCACAGCAGGCAGAAAAATGATGAGTATTTAATAAAAAGTCATCGGCAGAGTAAAGCAATTAGAAACATCATATTTATTTCAGTCTTCAGCAAAGGACTCCTCTGTGGTAGTTGTATATACACAGAGAGCAGTAATCTACTTTGCCAGTTAAGTGTTGTTCTGGGGCTGGGCTTGGGCCAGCAAGGAGAGAAGATGGATGTCGAAATTTAGTGCAAACTGTAGAAAGTGTTTATGTGCCTTCCAATGCTCTGCCACTAGGGTTTCTGGCTGTTAACATCTCAACTGGCTGTTTTACTATTTCGAGTCATTTTGATAGATGTTTTAAAAATATAGACATTGCTTACGATTTTGTTTTACTCCACATGCCCTAAGATATATGTGTCAATAGCATACATGTATATGTTCTTACACAGATGTAATGAACTTGTAGGCTCTAAATAAAAAATTGTTTTTTCAAAGCCACCGTCCAGCAGATTTTACAGCAAATGCTGTGACACTAATAGCAATATACCAATTCCAGGAAGTACAATGAATCATTGCTACCAATAGATTAGAGATAGAAATGAATCTGTGGCCATCACTCCAAAGTGTTCTCATTTAAATCTGTGCTGTCGGTGGAGAGGCACTCTTGCTGCCTCCCTTCTTTTGGCCATGGGCACCCTCCTCCTCCATGGTCGCTTTTTCTCATCAGTGGAGAAATGCCGAATGATTACTCTGGGGCTTTTATCTTATGTGGCTATCTTCCTCCAAGTACTTCCTGCATGCAGTGTGCTGACATTCGCAAAATGACTTTTTTTTAATGTCACCAATATCCCAGAAGAAAATTCTGTTTGCGGTTTGTCATCTCTAAAACAAGAGCTCTTTAGTGATGAGTACAGACATCGGTGAGGATATAGAATCCCTTCGAGTCTGATCTTAACACCAGACGGCAAGCAGTCCTGCAAAGCGTGGCTGTTTCGCAGCAGGTCATGATAAAGGATGAAACAATATTTTACCTCCTCTCCATCTTGGTAGATTGGTTTATTGTTTTCTTTGAGAAGTTTGTCTACAGAGGGAGTCTCCTGCGCAGCAGATGCTTGTGCTAAACAGTGGGAAAAGTGACAGCTGCCTGGCTTTGTGTGCCACTGGAGGGGCCTCCTGCTTTCCAAGCTGTGTGAAGTTCTCTGCATCTCTTTTAAGGTGGTTTCTTAGACTATTTTTCATCAATAGCATAGTTTTAGCACCAAAAGACACATCCAGAGTTTTCAGGCTGAGAACCATTACATGAGAATTAACCCTGGAGTGGAGGTAGCGCAGGCCCATGGAGAAGTGGTTGCAAAGCAAGTGTCTAACTTTCTGGTTACTCTCATTGCGATGGTCTGAGCACAGAAAGAGAGGTGTGCTGGGGTGGAAGTGAAGGCTTAACAGTTCCCTCATCAGTAGGTACAGGTTCCATAAAAAGAGGGTTTGGGGACTTTTTTTTTTTAGCGTCAGTACTTTAGTGCTAATTTAGTCTGTGTGTCACCACGCAGTTGATGCTTGCTGGGTGTCTTCCTGGTTGGCAGACAGCCTGCCACGTGGTGGAGAATTTCTTACATAACTCTGAGCTGCTCCTTTATCTCTGCATCACTATTTATGTCATCCTTTTCTCTTATCAACTGCTTTATCTAGGGTTAATGGTTCCTGCTGGTGTCATTCAGAATTACTCACTCACAGTGCATGTTGGTCCCTGAAATATTCATGAGCTGCTTTCTGCAGCATTTAAACCACAAAGCAATCCAAATTGCTGACATGTCCAGACAAACTTCCTAATTGAGAACATAGGTGTCTGAATTACTATTATTTGTATTATTATTGTTCTTACTTACCGAGAAGATAGCCGGTTGTCATGACTTAGGGATTCCTGGCAGTCGGTGAATTGCGT